TCTATATATTAACAGTATAAAATTATAAGGGACTAACTAGCGATTTACAATTAACTTTCACAAAATTTTAATTGATATTATAAATAATTTTAAATATATTTTATAGATTTATTTACATATTGATGGGAAAAATATAAGTAATTAGTTTATGATCTACAATTGACTCTCGTAAATTCATAATATTATAAATAATATCAAGTGTATCTTATAAATTTTACAAATAATTTATCTATATATTGATAAATAAAAATTATAAGTGATTGGCTTGTGACTTGCAACTGATTTTCATAAATCTCCAGTTAACATTATAAAAAATTTCAAATGTGTTTATTGATTTCCCAAATAGTTTATTTATATGTTAATAGTAAAAAATTAAAATTTATAATTAATTTTTGTAAATTTTTAACTGATATTGTAAATAATCTTAAATATATTCTATCGATTTCTTAACTAACTATTTATATTTTTTTAATCATAAGTACGAACCATTATCCATTGTTAAAATTTTAATAATTTAAAATTTATAATTATGATTAATATTTTTATGAGTTTTTTAATTATTATTTTTTCAAAAAACTTCCATAAATTTTGAAAGGGGGGTTGTAATTGTCCTTTAAGATTTAACAAACGAATCTCTTGAACTTTAGAATAATGGTAAATAACTCCATGCCGTCGTCAATTAGCTTGTTGTGCCTGTGGCCGTGTAAGCCTTTTGGTCATCAGGGCAACTGTCTTAGGTCTCATGAAAAAATTACGTATTGATCACTTCTCTTATAAACTAATTATAACTTGATCTTAATTATAGTAAAATACATTGGGAATATATATTATAATATTATTTGTTTTTCTATTAGTAAAATCTTATGGCTTATTTATGGAAAAATTATAAGGAAGAATGATTTTTCATATGCTTTAAAATTCAAAAAAAATATTGAAATGATTTTTTTGATAAGTCATTATTAAAATGAATGTAAAACCTAATTTTGATAAAAATTGTTTAATTTATAAATTAGAGTATATTAGCTTAATGGTCTCAAAAAATATAGTTTCCATAAATTATAGATGAAGTTTTTTAATATTCTAAAATATGATTTATCCATAAAATTAATTAGATGTAATTTTTTTTATCCTTAGAATAAATATATTATTAGAACACAATATATTTCCTTCGTCGTAGAGGAGATAAGTCTCATATGTCAATGCTTTTCTTCTTTTTCTTTCTCTATTTTTTTTAGGTATATTACAAAGTTGAGATTTGATATTAAAAACTAAACTCCATCATCAGATTCTGCATTATATATTGCATAGTTCAAGATCTAAATTGAAATTGTCCTGTATTCTATTTTTTTGGAAGTTGAAAAGTATTTTCACTAAATCAATAAATTATTTGTTCATAATCTGTTATTTGTTGACATTGATTATGAAATTTGATTGAATTACTAATTGAAAACATATATTGTTAATGATTTTTTATTTTATTATTTTAGGTATTTAATTTTCAATGATAAGTTAAGATGTCTATAATTTTTTATGAATCTAATTTGATCTGTTTTGGACAAACGATTATATTGTTTTTGTGTTTCTAACTTATGATGGTACATTAAGAATATATAATAGTAGATCACTGATATACTTTTGCATATCAACATAATCAAGTAATCAGATATAAACTTATTTGTTATTAACACAAAAACACATAATTATTTGCCCAAGATGGATCAAATACAGCCTATAAAAAATTTTATAGCTCTGTTTTTCTATTGGCATACTCCATTTCGTTGAGTACTGTCGATATCTCTCACCTCACATTTGTCTTTTATTATTGTAACTGTGACTTGCTTACACTGCTTTGCTTTTTTTTCCCTCTTCAAGTTTGATCTACTTATTTTTTTCATTGTAATTATAGCTCACATTTATCTCTCTCGTTCGCCTGATTTCTCACTTTTTAAATATGTTGTGGTATTTGTAAAGAGCATAGTGTTATAATTTTAAAATGATAATTTTGTAAATTATATATCAACTAAATATTAAAAATATTATTTTTAAATATTTAAGAAATAATAAAATATTTTTTATTTAATTTTATGATATAAACAATATATGTACAAGTCCCTATAAATTATAACACACTAAACTTTTATAATAATTTTGCTTCAGGCCTCTAATATTTTTCAGACGATCTTGCTTATGTCGCCAATAGAGCGTGACAGGCTACTGTTAAAAAAGGACACTGTGACGGGCTGACGACACAGTATTGGTATTTTTTTCATCTGTAGCCATTTTGTACTTTGAATGATGTGCGGACAGCATCTCAAACTTTAATCCTTGTCACAATGAATCCTCCGTCACGTACTATTATAATTCATTAATTAAATGACCAATAAATTAATGGCAACAAAATTACCTGCATAAATTTAAAAATGTAAGGGGATTCATTGTCAAAATTTAAAGCCACGGTGACTATGTGAACATAATCTAAGGTTTAAGAGGTTTATATGTAAAATGCTTATAACTAACGCAAATATCAAGGTTCTTAGGATGAAATAGACGAATTGAATTCACTAAATGATTTAAATTTACTCACTTAATAAGCATTTCAATTATAATCATTAGATGTTAGTAACACTAAAAAATTATCAAAATGTATTTTCCTAAAAAAATCAAACCAACCCTAATAATCTGAATAACCCTTACATACATTGCCTCCTTTGAAAATGTGAGTTTTCTACTCTTTAAGTATCATATAACAAAATATTCAACAGTCACTCAATTAATTGAATAATTATTATTATTTTATACAAGACATTTATCGAATTAGTAAATTTAAGATAATTACTGAAGCAACTCCTAACCATCTTTTGGATGTATAAAAAATTAGAAAGTGCATGGCCCCATAGTAAATGGGAAATACATATATTTAGCTTAACATCTTCTATTGTCATTCACCTGCCTCTACTCTTGCTTAGTTCTATATATGTAACTCGTCCGGAAAAAGGTAATAATATATGTCTAGTTTTTAATTCACATTCCTAAAATTTTATTCAAAAAATTTAATCATTTGTTAAATTTGATAAAAGTTCATTTTAAATGTGACAAAAATACTTGTGTAGATGAGAAATGTGTCTTTTCTCTATCATTTTCTTCAAATAATCACAGATACGCACATGCACGCGCGTGCGTATTAGATCAGCGTAAAACATTGTTAGATGGGATGTACAGAGACATAGGGCTTGTTTGTTTTTTAAAAATTTTATTTGGATAGGTATTTTTTTTATTTAGTTGTTTTTAAAAATTTTTTCATTTTTTTAAAAACAAAAAATAAAAGCAACTTTAAATTATTTTTGATTTATTTTTCTTGTTTTTTAAATATACTAAATTTGACTATTAAAAATTATAGTTCTCTTCATCAATTTTTATTATTAATCACCATCATTAATTACTTATAATCATCATTACTATTCTATTTTTTAATTCTAAAACTGTTTTTCAATTGACATAATCAAACAAATTTTCATTTTATTTTGTTTTAAAAATAATTTTGAAATTTGTAGTGCAAAATAATTTTTAAAAGTAAAAAACGAGGACATAAATCAAACCAGCCAATATACGGCGTGAGGTACGGCAAGTGTACGGGATAAAAGCGAGTCGCTTCCTCCACGTTGTGGTTTGTCAGAGTTTGTTTAGGAATGGCAAGTTTATCTTCACATGGCTGGTCTCTTGTTTTAGCTCAACCGATACCCTGTACCGTGTTCAATTCAACTGAGTGACGTGAAGGAAATGAGGCTACACCGATACCCCCACGCGCTCACCAGATTACGCTAGTTCCATCGGTTAACAGATTTGCTTTCCGTTTATTTTGCACCGAATGCGCAGAGTCACCTCCTCTAGGAGGTGGGGAGAGGAATCTCTCCATTTACTTTCTCTCTCTCTCTTTTTTTCCTTCATTTTTTAATCATAACTATTTATTAAATTTACAATTAAAATAAATTCATTTAATAAAATAAAATTAACGGCCATGATCTGTGGAAGCGGAGGGAAAAGAAGAGTAAGTGGAGAGACTCGCTCCCATAGGAGGTACCCGATCCCAAGTTCTCTCTATCTGTTCTTTTTTTTTTTAATATTAATATTTTTCCTGAGGTACCAAGACCTGTCTTGATTAAATTGTTGAATATATATAAGGGTTGGGGTTCGTCCGTGACAAGGATATTTACCGCTCTCACCAATTTTAGTTTACAATATGCTATTTTATTTCACTCCTTGACATAATAACGTTAATGTCATTCTCATCTCGATGCATGTTCCAAGTCGCTGTGCGCTTCCTGCCACCAAGAGCAGTTACATCGTTATCTTTCTCAGCCATTAAAAATTATTTCGTTGCCTACATATTTATTCACGTTACATATTTTCTCCGACACTAAAAATTAAAGTACAATGAATTTTCATATCCATGTGGCAATGACTGATCCATTAGAAGGAGCATTCTTGTTGGCAGCAGATATGACACGCACAATCATTTAGATTTTGATCAGTGTTTAATCTAAAGCACAGGGTCACGCGTTCAGTTATAATAACAAGAACAAGAATAACAACTAAGAAGAACATCTTAGTGGGGGATGCAGGTGTGAGGTGGGTCATCAGCACTAAGATTTGCTGCCTTCTCAAGCTTTCTAAAAAGTCTTTAACTTTATTATTAATTAACAATCGGTTTGGAAATAACATTTCACGGATTGAAATTCCACTTGTATTAATAAATTCGCAGTATCTTGCACGACTCTATTTCAGTAGTATATAATATTAATGCCGTACGTTTACTATGACTTTTTTTTTTTTTTTGGGGTGAACTCGGATTGACTCAAAATGTTTGAAACCTAGAAAATAGAATTTCTCTCTTCACAGTGGGGTTAATCGGCCTTTACCATGAGAGTGACGGAGATTTTTACGTATAAGCTTTCAGTACGTACCAAGTCCTTCGTCTGTCTTGAAGTTATAAACCCCACCCCTGACCCTCCACTGACCCGGCCTATTCAGTGATGCTGATATCTCTCGTAGCACTCTGATTCGTCCGCATGAAATCATTGCCTTCTTATCTTTGCTCAACTCCTCCCCAATTCCCCACTCCTTCGCCGTCTATTGTAGCGGACTACTCCTCTCTCTTCCCACACTGCAATTTCAAAGCCAGTCACATGGAGTCCACACCTCTCCCAGCATAACGAACATCTTCGCCGACTTCCATGGCGACCCCGTTTACTCGCTTTGTGGTTTAAGGTTTAGAACGAGCATCTTCTTGGAGACGAGTAGGGTCTTGGGTCTTGCCAATGGCGCTTTCAGGATCTGTGGTAGATCTTCAACCTGCCTTAAAGAAGAAAACTGTTGTTTCGAGAAGCTGGATTCTGCTGGACCGCAATGGCAACAGCACCGTGCTGGATGTTGACAAGTACGCTATTATGCGCCTGGTTGAAATTCACGCAAGAGATCTTCGAATTCTTGATCCGCTGTTATCGTATCCTTCAACCATTTTGGGCAGAGAGAAGGTCATTGTCCTCAATTTAGAGGTAAATGCTCCGTTCTTGCTCTACCGTGGGCTTTTTTGAACTTGGTTCTTTTTGCATCTGGGCTTGTTCAATCAATAATAGGATTATCTCGGCTGGTTTCGAGTTCTTCTTACAGCATATTAAGGCTATAATCACTGCAGAGGAGGTGCGTTTATAATATAGAGTTATCTTGGAATCATTTCTCCCAGGTTATACTCTGTTTTTAAATTTTGGTTTCATGTTGATGCAGGTGTTGCTTAGAGACCCGCTGGATGATGATGTTATTCCTATTGTTGAGCAACTTCAAAGAAGGTTGCCCAAAGTGTCTGGTACAGGGCAAGGCCTAGGAGAAGAAGAAGAGACATGCGCTCAAGAAGTGGAAGGCGACGAAGAAAATGGTACGACTCGCGGAAACTTCAATTTGCAAAGGTTTTAATTTGACGTTACTGCCGTTGAAGATATACCTATATTATATATATAGAGTTTTTCCTAATTATTTTGACTCATAATTTTAGCTGGTCTTTAATTGCGTTTGACTTGTGCGTTGTAGAATTTCCGTTTGAGTTCCATGCCTTGGAGGTTGCGTTAGAGGCAATTTGTAGTTTTCTTGATGCGCGGACGAGAGAATTAGAGACCGCTGCTTATCCAGCTTTAGATGAGCTCACCTCTAAGGTAAAAAGCCTTGTTCAAGAATCTCTCTCTTGGCTAGTATTTTAGCCGCGTTAAGTGGTCCTAATTGCAGCTTTAGTAGAGGTTGATGCCGAAAGAAATTATTTTCTAGCTTGCAAAGATTTCAATTAATCTTCATTGGAACAGATTAAAGTCGCTTGACTGACACTTTAACCCATTGTCTGGTTTACAAGATTTCAATTCCAAAAGCCAAGAAACATCATTTTGTTATAGCCTTGAAATGATTTCCAGTAGTTCATTTTTTTAATTCTTCCTTCCCTATATATAATTACATGGAATTTATCATCTAAAATTTGACCTCCCATGTATTTTCCACTGGATCTGGTCTTACAAAAATTATAATGTCTTTTTCTTCTCTTCTCGGCCTACCCTTCTATGTCCAGATTAGCAGTCGTAACTTGGATAGAGTGCGCAAACTGAAAAGTGCAATGACCAGGTTGACAAATAGAGTTCAAAAGGTATTTTCATATGATTTACGTAAATGTCAATTCCCTTCCTAGTTCCTGCACCTGTCTTGCTTATATTTGGTTCTGGAACAACAGCTTCCGGTAGTGTAGTATGTAGTTCAGTATGAGTTAGAACATGTTTAAAGTAAATCGTTTTTCATCAAAGCTGAGGGTGGGAAGAGGAAAAAGAAACATTCAACAAGTTTCACAAAATTTGAACTAGATCTGTTTCTTTCAGTAAACAGAGGAACCATATTGAGATCCAGTGTTTGCCTGCACTTGCAAGTTAAAGTCATCCTTGTCTACGCTTGATATGGACTTATACTGTGCATACAGATAAGAGATGAACTAGAAAATCTACTGGATGATGATGATGATATGGCCGACCTTTACTTATCAAGAAAGATGGCTGTCTCGTGTTCCCCTGCTAGTAGCTGCGATGCTCCCAATTGGATTCTTAGCTCTCCAACTATAGGCTCAAGGGTTCGCAGATCAAGCAGAGCAAGTGCAACAACATTTCAAGGGGAGAATGATGTTGAGGAACTTGAAATGTTACTCGAGGTCATTAATATCTTCAACTTAATCTGCCTCAGATAATGTCAGGTTGCTTGTGTTGATGGTGCTAATAAATTGAATTCTGTTCCATTTTTGCAGGCTTATTTCATGCAAATTGATAGCACATTAAATAAACTAACCACCGTATGAGCCCTGCTTTCTATTTAAGCTTCCCCTCCTGTCTTTCTGTTCTCTGGTATGGTATGGAAAGTTTGAAACCAAGTGATATATAATAAAGCTTTGTTCTTGTTCTTTTTATATTAATCTTAATACAGCTGCGAGAGTATATTGATGACACGGAAGATTACATCAACATACAGGTAAATCTTTTGGCATGAAGATAACCTATTTCTTCCATTTAAGTTCGCTGTAACTAGATCACATGCTTCATACGTAAACAAATTCAAAAAGTGTTTCAACTATCAACATTAATGCGAGTGAGCTAGCAATGGAAGATTATAGTATCAGTGTATGACGCTCATTTATTATTGTGTGCCATGTGCATGCAGCTTGACAATCACCGAAACCAACTGATTCAGGTATACTCTTCCTAGGCTATCCATGTATTTCAAGACATACTGCTTAGTCTCACACACACACACATTCTGTGAAAGCTGTTATTGTTATCAGTTTTCTTAATTACAGCTAGAGCTCTTCCTCAGTTCTGGGACTGTGTGCCTGTCCATATATTCCTTGGTGGGTGCAATATTTGGTATGAACATCCCGTACACATGGAAAGAAGGACACGGATATATGTTCAAATGGGTATGTATCTAATTCTAACAATTTCCTTTAATAAAATCCATAATATTTGATTGCTTTCTGATTTTTTCAAGTCAAAATTTGCGGCTTTAGGTGGTAATCTTTACGGGAATAGTTTGCGGCTCCCTGTTTTTGTCCATAGTATCATATGCTCGACGCAAAGGTCTTGTTGGGTCTTGAAACAAAGATGCCATTCGAAGGGACACTGACTGATAAGCTCAACATACAATGCAAATAGATGAGAATCCGTGGGATCAGATTGTACAAATAAATTGAAAAATTGTACGACGTTATCTGAATATTTGCTGTTCTATTGTTGATGTTGTAGTTGAATTATTTAGAAATTGAAAATTGAAAAGGACGATTATAAATGAAATTACTAGTTGATCATGGAAGTTAATTAATGTGTCTGGAAAAAAAACAAAAAAGAAAGAAAGAAAGAAAGAAAGAAGTTAATTAATTGTGCTATTGTGTTGGCAATTACAAGAAAGGAAAAGTTACTGGTTTTGTCATGGGGTTGACGAGGGGCGTCATGTTTTAAACTTTTGTCGAAAATTGACCAATATTTAGTCAACTTGGATATTTTAGATGCAAATTAGCTTGCATTTGATCTGTATCATTTTATATTAAATTATTTTTTTCATTGTCTTCGTAGTTTTTCAAAAGAAAAGTAAAATAAAAATATATATTTAAATTAAATTTACAATATAATTAGTAACAAAAATTTAAACATAAATGGTCCCAGCATTATCTGAACTAGATATTAAACCTATCGATTTAATTAAAAAGGGTTGAAGAATTGGTGCTAACGAGAGGGATTATATATATATTGACATTTGGTCAAAGATAAACAAAATCCCCATAAACACAGAAAATTGAGCCTGTTAGTCAATTGACTGTTCTAGTTTTTATAGTTATTGGTTTACATTGTGATCTTTCAATTTAGTGTTGACATTTTTTCTTGTATTTCTTTTTCCAAAATTCTTCATTAATATTTTTAAAATGTCATCCGAGCGATAGTTATATTAATATACTTTGGGGATTACTCACGCGATAGTGGTGTGGAATGGGAAAGTGAAGATAACGTTTACAAGGTTAAATTCTCCCAAGTCCTGATGCAATGAAATGCTCGTACTCGTGGCAATGAGGCCCCGCAATTCTGGCTCATTCCACATATCAGTGTAGTGCATGGGAGCCAACTTAGTGATGGCATTAAATATGATGGTAGGGGTGGTTTTCCTGGTACAGATGCTAGTGAACTGACATTCAATGAATCAACGTTACATTTAACTTACTATGATTTATGCTGAATTGAGTTCTGAAATTCATCAGTATTTTGTATTTCAAATATTACTTTAAAACTGAGTTAGTGTCAACACAAAAATTGCTTGCAGAAGGGATATCCCGATTGAGTCTGATAATTTTCAAACATGACTCAGTCAGCTAACTGTATTAAAAAAAAAAATACAATTCCAAAACATAAAGCAAAAACATACTCCCTCTGTAATCAAATGTAGAAGCAAATTTTAATCAACTTGCACAATTTAAAAAATTAGTTACATATATTAATTATGTTTGAAATTAAAATATTTAAACTAAAATATTCTTTTAATTAATCTTTAACATGTGAAGGATTTGAATTTGTCTCGTGAAAATTATCTCTGCTTTTATAAAGGGCAATTTGAAATAAAATGTGATATATATTCCTGAACTTTTTAGTTTTACTTAAAAAAGCAATGAAATATATATTCTTTTTGTTAAAAAATATAAGACATTTTTTAAAAGTAACATATTACAAAATATAAGATATTTTGGATCTTTTAATATTTAATTAATGGAGTTTTTTCAAAAATACCCTCATTTAAAGAGTGTAATTAATAAGGTTTTATAATTAAAATATCTTATTAAATAAGAATAAATATAAATAATATATAATTTTAAAAATAATTAACTGCTTCATTAAAAGATTTAAAAATATCTCAGACTGGGGAATGATAAATTATTTTCACAAGAAAAAAAAGGTAGTGTATAATATAGTCAAGACTTGAGTGACAAATAACCAATAAGAGTTTGAGTACAGTAAAATGAGCACAGCATTTTGACCAGTTTAATAATGAATCCAATTGAAGGCAAGTTTGGACGAATTAAATTTCGCATTGATAGCGTTGCTAATACGGGTTGGAGCCAAGCGCATCTGTCATGGGAAGGTGCACGCCGCGATAAATTGCCACAATCACGTTATGTTCCGCCGTGTCTGAACGCATCCAATAATGATTCCATAACGGGTTTGCTGTTTGCGTGTTGTGAGTTGCGATCCAACTATGAATATGAATATGAAACCAAAAAAATGAACACCATGATGTTAGTTAATTGTTAATGCTAATAAAGTGTTCGTCTTCAAAGACGAACCTCCAAGGAAGCAGTAATAAATGTCGTCATTATCAAACTTGATTTCACTCATAGTTGGAAAGAAAAAAAGGCAATACTGGTTCTCAAAGAAGACGTAGATAACATTCTTTCAAGAGGTGGGGTGGGCTTTGCCTGGCGAGGGGGAAATGGTCAGGCAAGTACTTAGGAAAGGAAGCCACAGGACTTTACAGTTAGCTTATCTTCTAAAGTTGCCAACTCACAAACATCACGTGTTGTTATATTCCATTTGTTCAAACCAATCCTATTGGATCCACTAGCTTTGTTGACTTCCTTCCTTGACAGTCCCAACTCAACACTGTCCCTGTGCGTCTCTCACGCTTGTAAAACAAGCATAAATCCTCCCTCCTCACTTTAATGTGAAGGGAATGACATTTTGGAACTCCCACGCATTGTATTCCCACCTCATCATTTCCCTCTAATTGCCATAACGATAACGTAACTACCCCCCCCCCCAAAATTTTTATTCTTCCCTCTCCGCGTTTAAAAATACAAAATATTTTTAATTTTTAATATATAATCAATATATTTTTTAATAAAAAATATATTTAATAAATAAATTATTCAGTCATTCACATTTAAATGAGACATCTTATTAAATAAAAATATATATGAAAAAAATTTAAATAATTAACAATTTACTAAAGATGTAATTAATTAAAAATGTTTTATATTTAAATAGAGAGAGTACCAAATTACTCCTCCTGATCTTTATTATAGGACGACTTCTAGAAACATTCATTAGTTTTTAATATAAGACATTTAATGGAGTATTAATTATATTTTTTTCAACATTACTCATATGAATTTATTAACCATGTGAGAGAATGTAATGCAAATCTGAGAAATTTTTATTTAAGCAAGAGCAAAATTGGAAGCTTATTTTATATCTGAACAATATCAATTACTCAATCATCTCTTTTAATTTTGATAAAATAGTTAAAGATACCATAATATGAACTAGGGGAGTAATTTTTAATATTATCTAAGCTCCGTTAGAAACGCCTGTAGCAGGAAAATCCGCGTCACAAAATTCACTCCCAAGTCATGAATATGACTATAATTCATGCATATAAGTTGTACATCCATGGTAAGAGCTTTATAGTGCCCAAAATCCAATGAATGGGCAGAAAATGAGATCTGACCAGCAATTCCCCGCAGTGATTTGATTTAATATGTGCATGAACTAATAATTAATAAGGTTGAATGTACAGAATTCAAAATGAATCCTGGTAATATAATCATGATTTGCGTGCAGCAGCCAGCAGAGCGCGTTGTAAAATTTATAGCAATATATCATGATTGCAGGAGGCACGAGGGGGAAAATGTAGATAACAAAGGAAAAAGAATGAAGGAGCTTGCCTTTCGTGCAGGAGGTCCTATGATAGTTCATTGATACACTGGAGCGCATGTTAGAATCCTCCCCAGCCGTCCACAGCACGAAAGGCAGGAGCAGGACACATCTTAGAGTGAAGGGCGCACTGCGGCGCATGTTATCACCACCCCTGTTTCTATTAGCTGTCGTCGTTGGTTGAAGTGTTCGAACCCGTCTTTAAATAATTTCGTTTTGAAAATATATTTACGAGTCTCCGGAATAAAAGAAATAAAAGGAAAAAAGAAAAACAAATAAAAGACAGAAACTTCAGACTCTTGGTTCATGCTCTTCTCGACGCAGAGGCCCCTCGATTCGGATCATCCGCATCTCCCTCTGTCCAAATCTACCAAAACCGACGTCAAATCTTCACAAATCAGACCAACCCATTTCGTAATCCAGCCCCCAAAATCCCAAGCCGCTGTTTTTACCCGTCTTCGCCGAACGCCTGGTCCGTTTTCTTCTTTTACGCACGCGTCTTGTGCTGTGTCTTCCACGTTTTCTCGCTTCTTAGTCCATGTCATCTTTGCGTCTTCCTTTGCTTCTCAGGTTAATGCTGATGATTACAACGAAATGGACGTAAATTTTGCTTGAGTGAGCTTAGTCGTAGCATGCACTGGGTGGATACGTGCGTGAGAAAGGAGGTGCGAGGTGAGGGCGGGGCTTGTCGGAGTTGGCGATGGCGAATCAGGTAGTCAAAGTGAAGAGGGAAACGATTGCAGCATGCATGACCTGCCCGCTCTGCAATAAGTTGTTCAGGGAGGCCACCACTATATCTGAATGCCTGCATACGTGTGAGTCCTCTTATCTTCGTTTCCCTTCGAATCCTGTTTCTTTTAGTTTAATCTTGTGTTAATTCCTCAAATTTTAAATCTTCTGGGCATTTTTCATCATTGACGATCTTGGTTATCCTTGTTTTGCATTATTCTTGTGCGTTCCGCTCTCCTTTGACCCGTGCTGGGATGGGCATCTGGTATTTTGCATAACCAGATATGGGTAATTGGCAATTTAATGCTTCTGAAAATCTGTCTTTCTGTTTCTCCGTAACGGTGTTTCACTATTTGTGACGTGAATGCTAGTTGCAGAAGCTTTATCCTTTTGATTAGCCAACTATTCAGTTGTGCCTTTATAATACTGTGCTAAGCGTGAAGCTGTTTAAACGTTTGACTTCAAGTGTCCATTCACATATATACAATAAACTCGCGTTCACTCATATACGGAGGCTCGGATGCTAGCACATGCATTTGTGTGGTGACGGCGAGCATAATATGCAATTTCCACGCTTTGGCCTCATCACTAGATCTTATATAGCGTGATTATATAATATTCTGTTCCGTGTTTTTCCTTGCACGTTTCACTCCTCCATTGCAGTTTTAGCTGAACATTTTCCTTGCATTTTGGTGCCGAAAGAAGTACAGGAAAATGTGTTCTGGTGAATCCCCCCTTATAAGACGAGGCTCATTATTCCTTCTTTACATGACCTCCTTTTCTATATCATGTGGAGTTTATACTCACAATAGCTATTTTCATTTCTCATCGACATTTCAGAATAATTTGTTTAGCATTTTATATTGTGA